TATAATAATTGTATATAAAATTTTATTGTGTATTTTTACAATTTAATTTATTTTTATTTCATAGATTAAACAGAACACTGATTTTTTTATATATTTATTGAAATAATTCAATAATATTATGAATAATAAATATTTGTATGCATTTTTTATTTTTTACATTTTTGTATGTATTTCTAAATCTTTTATTTATAATAATTATAATAAATATATGTACGTTTAAATATTTTTTTAATTAATATTTGTTTTTTTTGTTTGTTTGTTTTTTTTTTCATTTCACAGGGGACTGGTTTGAAAGAATTGAGAAACCCTGTCCGTGCAAAGCCTTTCAATGTCATGACCAGCTTAAAGAAATTAACCAAGTTACTTTTGCTTTTCACAAGGATATCAAGAAAGTGCTTTTACGTAGACAAACTCCAGCAACAGAAATTACGTTGGTATCACTTTCTTCAGCCAAAAAGAAAATAATAATAATAATAATAAACAGTCAAAATAAGTTTAGTTTCACTCATAAAAATGCTGTGATTTTATCAAAGGGTTCTGCAAATTTTCTAGTCAATTCTAGCCTGCAGATTAGTATATAATGCATCAAATAATGAAAGAAAAGTGTATGAAAGAGTGTTTGTTGTGCCGATGATTAATTTGAAGGGAATGGAACAAGAGACTGGTAGCATGAGTGATACAGACTGATGAAAGAAAGCCAGAGATAAACACCATCTTTATACCGCATGATCAAAAGAACCAAATGCTAATCAAAAAGAAGTTGTTCATAATTAATTATGTGCTTCTCTAAAAGTTGAAAGTTTTCAAAAGCTGTAGGTATTGTAGATAAGGTTTTGTTTTCTGAAAATTTGATTGCAGACTGCAATATCACTCACACCAGTAATCTACTCATATTTAACCCTGACATAATATAAATGTCAGGTCAAATAATAGTATTTTAATAGTATTTTAGTATTTTTTTTTTAAATAATATAATAATTATAATATATATCCTCCTGACTACCAGGAAAAAACGGTTTTGTGAATTTAGTATTTTGTCATGTCATTACATTGTTTAGAGCAC